AGAGCACATAGGCAGAATTGACGAGAAATTAGTTCGCCTTCCTTCGGGAACCCGTACATTCTTGTCTCTCGCCAAGGCTGTCCAAGGGAATTTCTGTAAGCCATCACTACCATCTCTGCACAGGGAGGATGACTCACTGGCCCGTGACGCAAAAGACAAAGCCGACCTTTTAGGCTCCCTTTTTGCGTCCAACTCGACTCTTGATGACGGGGGGAAAACACCGCCGACCATCCCGCAGTGTGAGTGCTCCATACCGGATGTGCTGTTCTCACAGCGCTCGGTTCGCAAAGCACTGCTCTCCCTGGACATCCAGAAGTCGAGTGGGCCTGACGGAATTCCCCCAATTGTGCTGAGGACGTGTGCTCCGGAGTTGGCACCGGTCCTAACGCGTCTTTTCCGGTACTCCTACTCCCAAGGCGTAGTCCCGAATTCATGAAAGACAGCTTTTGTCCACCCGATCCCTAAAAAAGGCGACCGCTCAGACCCATCCAACTATAGGCCTATCGCGATCATTTCCTTGTTCTCCAAAATAATGGAATCCATTATTAACTGCCAGCTCATCCAGTACCTTGAGGATCACCAGCTGATTAGTGACCGCCAATACGGTTTTCGTCGGTGTCGATCAGCTGGTGATCTTCTGGTCTACCTGACCCATAGATGGGCGGAGGCAGTAGAGTCCAAGGAGGAGGTGTTGGCCGTTAGTCTGGACATTGCGAAGGCCTTCGGTCGGGTTTGGCACAAAGCGCTTCTTTCGAAGCTCCCTTCCTATGGGCTTCCCGAGAAATTGTGCAATTGGATCACCAGCTTCCTTGCAGATCGGAGCATCAAGGTCGTTGTAGACGGTGCATGCTCTGACTACAAGCCTTTTAACGCTGGTGTTCCACAAGGCTGTGTGCTATCACCAACGCTGTTTCTTCTGCATATCAATGATAACTGGTAACATTCATTGCTATGCGGATGACAGCACTGGTGATGCTCTATACACCGGCCGTGCCAATATTTCTCGGGAAAACGTCGCTGAGTACCGGAACAAACTTGTGTCTGAAGTCGAGTCTTTGCTGAGCAAAGTCTCGGATTGGGGCGACTAAATCTAGTCCAGTTTAATCCTCAGAAGACACAAGTTTGCGCGTTTACCGCTAAAAAGAACCCCTTTGTCGTATGTCCTCAGTTTCAAGGCACTCCCCTTCTTGCCTCAGCCAGTATCGGTATCCTCGGAGTCGACATATCGAGTGACGTGCAGTTTCGTGGTCACTTTGAAGGGAAGGCCAAATTGGCCTCTAAAAAGCTTGGCGTGCTCAGCAGAGCGGGACAGTATTTCATGCCGTTACACCGCCTGCAACTTTACAAGGCGCATGTTCGGCCTCACATGGAATACTGTTACCATCTCTGGGCAGGGGCTCCCCAGTGTCAGCTCCTTCCACTTGACCGCATCCAACGCAGAGCTGCTCGAATCGTCGACGACCAGGCCCTTTCCGATCGGCTCGATTCATTGGCACTGCGAAGAGATGTTGCATCCCTTTGCATTTTCTTTCACATCTACCATGGGGAGAGCTCTGAGGAATTGTTCGGATTAATCCCAGCCGCCAAATATCACGAACGCACATCGCGGCAGAACTCCCGATACTATCCACACCATCTGAATGATTGGCGGTCCACCACTGTGCGATTTAGAAGATGTTTTCTTCTTCGCACGACCTCATTGTGGAATCGATTACCATCAGCGATTTTTCCGGACCGATACGACTTAGGGACCTTCAAGAAAAGAGCGTACTCCTTTTTAAAAGGCCGGCATCGCATCTGCGATTTCCCTGGTGTTGCAGTTGTTCATGGGCGGCGGTAGTCACGACTTAGGGACCTGCTCGTTTGCCCCCTCTCCTAGTAGTTTTAGTAAAAGGAGTGATATACATTCTGTAAACACTAAGAACAAACACAAGCTAGTGATGCCAGTTTCTCGACTCCACAGAGTCATTAATTCATTCTTGGGGCAATGTATACGCTATTACAACAAGGTCCCGGAAAGTGTACAGGTTCTCTCAATTACCAAGTTTAAATGTTTTATTAAACTGAAACTGTATAAAAAGGGTTATTATAATATAAATGAATGCATGGTTGATAATAACCCCTGGGAATGAGGTGGTCGCTTCCAAGCAGTTTCTAAAATAAATTTTGTAAATAGTTTGCAATCATTTATATTGTAAAATTTATTTTAAAAAAGTCCCGCTGGGTTTCTTTCTGGTTCTTCCCGGGGCAGAGGGTTTTTTCGAACCAGCGGTAAAGAAAAAAATGACTTTCAATAAGAACTACACATATAATGTATATTGAATAAAATATTATTATATTCTATTCTATTAGATTTTATTTCGTGATGCTAAGTAAATTTTCCATTTAATTAATCTTTTTGACGTGCGAGGTCTCAAAATTGCACTCAGGTAAAGTTCAGGCAACATTACGTCCCATTCCTTAAATAGCGATTCCGTGGTACACGCTACATATTGTGCGGCCGGGAAACTCAACGGTAAGTATGATAGAAAGGAATACGTCTTCGTCATTATCGATGCATTCATAAAGTACGTATTGTTTCGCCATACCTTCCAAATTTACTCCTCTAGCAGCACCAAGGCTCTAAAAGACTGCATTTTGCTCTTCGGTGCACCAAATCGTGTAACTGCGGACCAAGAGCGCTGCTTCGCATGCAGAGACTTTGAAAATTACTGCGAGTCGGTTAATATAAAGCTCCAATTAATTGCGACAGGTAGCTTACGAGCTAATGGTTAGGTTGAACGGGCAGTGAGCATCCTGTAGAACATGCTTACGGCCACAGAGCCCAGCAACCGTTTATGGCAAGATGCTCTCTAGTCCACTGAAATTGCTCATAAGTAAAGTCACTAGAGTCATCTGTAGACATAATGATGACTGACGATGAGGAACCAGACGTGAATTTCGACAATATCAGAGCTGAAGCAATGCGAAACATGTAACGAGCCTCTGCTGAAGACAAAGCCCGATACGACAGCCTCAAGGCCGAGGTAAATCCATTCTCTGTTGGAGATAACGTTCTCTTGCAGAACGACGAACGTAGTCAAACCAAGCTTAACTTGCTTAACAGTGGTAGAGCCACGCGGCAGCTTTTGCTGTCGCACGGATGGGTCGGCTCGAACCGGGGTGGTACCACGACCTCACAGAATACCAGCGTGAAGTAGAGGTTTACCTCTGCGTTTCGCTTGGTGAGTGCAGGTGGCCGGAGGCCCTTTTTACTGGAAATGAGGCATTCCATCTTAGTCCTCACGGGTGGCAACGCATCTGCATTTTTTTTCGCAAACGAGGATGGATGTAGATGTCTATGGGCCGCAGCAACCACTTACCATCAGGTGGGCTGTGTGCTCGTTTGTCACCTTTATCCTATAAAAAAAAAAGCTTGACGCAAAATACAAGAGTCTTTAAAATCGCTAAAGTCCTGGAAGGTGATCTAAATCCCAACCGAACGTAGAAGTACGCATATGATAGGTTACCTGAGATGCTTGACAACACTTGTGTCATCGATGACAATGACACTGATTCTGACCAGTAAAATGTTTTATTAACTGCCGAACAGCACTGCCTTTTGTTTCGTTCGGGTTTGACCCGCCGCAGAAGAACACAAAATCTCTCCGATCACACTCTCAGTCTCATGGCTGTTAGATGGGAGATGAAGCTGCAGAGTTTAGGAAATTTGACAGCATATAGGCAACTAAACAGACATATCAACAAATGCATGCGGCGAGACTTACGCAATTTTAATACAGCTCGTATTAAAGTTGCTCGAGATCTGTCCGCCAGAAAAAGTCAACTATCAAAGCTGAAGACCGAATGTGTCGGCATCGTTTCCCAGACACCTAAAATTTTTAATCCGATTAAGAATGAGTGAGAATTGGTGACTAATATTGTTTGTTATAGGAATCGACGATCTTACGTCAAGATTGCCGTGTAAGAGCGTCTTTCAAATTACCGGTTGAACCAAGTGAGCAAGAGGTTGCGTCACTCTAGCTAAGCGTCATATCAATGGTAACGTGGTGGAATTAAGGGTATATTGAGAAACTCCCACTTGTTTGTGCAGTAAAGTTCACTGTAGGCGCCATTTGTGAGAGATTCCACTTGAGTTATTCTATGAGTGAAGTTATTCAAGAGTGCTAAGATAGTGTCGTGGTTCTGTTCGTTATTGTAATTCTTCTAATGCAGGCAAATATGATGGTGTTGCTAAGAGGCTACCCTGTGTTACACTGAGAGAATTAATGTTGCTGTTGGTTTGCATATTTTGGTGTTATCATGTAATTATGTCCCTCACGTTGCACTGGTGTGTGATAGTGACGGGGACGCGTTACGGTGTGGTCGAACTGTAATTTCTCTATACTGAATGTACAGTGCATTAGCTGTTATGATTATGATTATTATATATTATTACTGATAATGATTAATTGCATAAGCAAGAGATCAAGTGGAACATCCGATCTCACACTTTTATTATTTCTAACAACCTTTAACCTTTCCTGAAGTACTTCCAAGATCAGGATTGAGATCTCCTGCTGAATTTCCGAGATCAGAAGTCGGAACTTCTGCTGCATTTTCTAGATATAGGTTAATATATGCTAACAACAGATTAATTAAAGGTTTTATGCATGTAAACTACAAAATGTTTTCTACCAGTTGTTTTCAAATGTTTAATGTACCTTTAAATGAACAAATAAAACAAAAAGAGGTGCATAAATGGTGCAGTATACTCTTGAATTTAGGTAAACTGATAGCTTCTTTCTGTCAATGTCAATATATTGCTATTGGAATAACTATGTATAGGAATGATCGTAAAATATGATTTAGATATTTACGACTTAATGAATCCTATTTTAATTCATCATTTGTACCACAAATATAATAAAAAAGTAATAACTATGTACAAAATAATATTAAATATAGTTTCTTATCAATATCTATAATATTATCATTGATAAAATCTATTTCTTGCATACCTTAGCCATCTCTTTATTATTCCTTTAGGTATCATTTTCCAATTCAGATCTTTCTTCTCCGACCAAATTTGTAAGTAGTAGGCTAACAAGCATCCGGAAATGATGAAGAACGTCTGCACAACTATGGTACCGTCTAAATATAAGTGGTATAAAATATTGTGGTACATCTGCAAAATGATACAAGGGATAAAAATTATTTTTACATTGACCATTCCATACTTTTGAGATCATTAAAAAAGTTCAACGATGTTAAGTTACGATCTCAAAGGTGTCTGGCCGGTCTTAACCTTTCCCAATTTGATAGTGTTAAAAATTAGGACAGGTTTTAATGTTAACCTTGATATTAGACGTATATTAGATGTAATAAAAGATAAAAAGTCTCAATGCCATAAAACATCATCATTTCATCTTTGCGATAGGCCTTTGCTGATAATAGGCCTCCTCCAGATGGCTGCATCTATTGACTTCCTGTCTTAATAGGTCGACTGGTGAAGGACCACGCTTGCATTGTACGACAAAGTTAGATAGTAGCGTTACTTACTTACTTATCTTCACGCACAATCCCTGACGGGGTAGCCAGAGAGAACAGATCGCCAAGTGTCATGAACCTTACATACCTCTTTCGCTTGTTTCAGATTCATTATCTTCTTCATACATGCATGTTTAGGTATCGGAGTACTCTTGACCCTCCCCTCTTCGAGCAATTTGCTCACATGGTCTTCGAAAGTTAGTCTCGGTCTACCTCGACACCTTTTAATATTAACTTTCGCGCTATATATTTTCTTCACCATTCGGTCTTCACTCATTTGCTCAACGTGCCCAAACCATTGAAGCACGCCCTTATCAATTTTTGTGATAAGGTCATCTTTCAAACCTGCCATATTGCAAATCTCTTCGTTTCGCTTTCGGTCGGCCATGGTAACGCCGCACATTTTACGAAGAGATCGCATCTCCACTGCATTCAACTTGCTTTTATGCTTCTTCTGGCATACTCAGGTTTCGCTGCCATATAACAATGTCGGTACCAACACTGCGTTATGTATTGCAAGGTGTGCACTCTTCACTATGCCTTGCCTTTTGACTAACGCAGTCAGGGCACCATTGACTTTGTTCCCGGCAGCGACACGCCTGTCCACATCTAAATCACATCTTCCATTCCGGCCAAAAGCACTCCCCAAATATACAATTTTATTTACCTGTTCTAGACATTCCTGATTTACCCATATTTCACACTTCGTTCTCTCTTTGTCCCTTTCAAATACCAGAATCTTAGTTTTACTTTATTATAGCGTTAATACTGCTATATTTCGTATCTTCAGTACAAGAACCGGAGACACGTTTTACTGATTCTTTATCGAGGATAGACGTAGGTGTTAATCAAGTTAAGTCAAATAGTAACAACTTATTATCAGGTAGATTGTATACTGGCTTTTCAACCTCACTGTTCCATAAACTAAGACCTTAAATAAAAAGCTTAAACATTTAAAACTTCCACACAAGCTTCAGAACTCCGTGCTAATATTGTTTTTGGTTTTTGAAGTCAGCTTTTAATTTTTATAAAAAAAAACTTATTTTGAGACCCTCTTCAATGGATTGAGGAATATCACTATTAATATTTTTGAATGAGAAAGAAATTAAGCGCCTCGTCTTTTTTGGCATAGGCTATAAAATTAAATATCTTCAATAAATAAAAAAAAATGATTTCTCTAATACTCAGTCGACAATAATTATTATTGTTATTTTGTCTTACTTATAAATATTTATCCTTATGTATACGCCATAGTCAAAAGTCATAAGCGTCCAAAAGCACTTTTGACTGCAAAAATCAAACAAAAATGGTTTTCACTGATGCCCTTAGTCAAAAATTGTTTGTGTCAAAAATCAAAAGTGGTGTTGTCTGATTTAAATATTAGAGCAGTCAACACTCGCTATATCAACAACAGTAGGTTAAGGTGCGACTGGCTAAAGCCAATTAATTTCAGAAATTCAAAATGTAATATGTTTCAAAAATTAGTCAAAAGAAGTTTTGACTAACATTGTTGGTCAAAACGACTTCAACCGATGTAATTTAGTCAAAATAACTATTATCCAGTATTTTTGCAGTTAAAAATAGATTTGACCAAACGGCCTTAGTCAAAACGACTTTAACCGATGTAATTTGGTCAAAATCACTATTACCCAGTATTTTTGCAGTTAAAAATAGATTTGACCAACGGCCTTAGTCAAAACTACTTTTGACTGCAAAAATCTGTTAAAAAAGTTATTAAAAAAATTCCTTAGTCAAAATTACTTATGCCTTATTTTTTAAAGTTTAAAGTAGTTTTGACCGGTTATGAGTTTTGACTGTTACATATATAATCGTTAGAGTGTAGTGGCGGTGAAAGTATATCCATTACTCCATATCATCCCGTGGGGGAGGGACAGAGGGAAACAAATCAAGAGATGGGATATTATAACACCGCCACTACACGATTTGTTGTCCTTATTCTATAACAAAAAGGTAGTACTTACGTCTTCCAGAAAGAGTGTATTGTCTAGGGCGACCATAAACGGAAGTATTGCGTGTTCCGTTATAACTAAGAATATTGTGATTGCTCTGAAAAATAACGATTTAATAAAACTCATCCTAACTGTTAATCTGAAGTCTAGCTGCCTCCAAAATTCTTCTACGTATTGTTTCAAGTGTTTCACCCCCACCCCTTTTATTTAATTGATATAAATGTTTATAAAATAGTAGCGTAAAATCGCAAACGCGTAGCTGTGTTTTCTATAGTGGGTGTAAAGAAATGGAGACACTTTTTACTGGAAAAAAGAAATTCTATCTTAGTCCTCACGGCTAACAATGCATCTGCATTTTAATTCGCAAACGAAGATAGATGTAGATGTCTATGGGCCACTGCAACCACTTACCATCAGGTGGACTGTGTGCTCGTTTGTCACCCTTATCCATAAAAAAAAATTCAAACAATAATGAAGCGATTAAAATTTTTATTAGTATCAATGAATTTAAGACGCCCTTGACAAAGGTCAGCAAAGCTAGATAGGAATCAATTTCACAAAATATCAATGCTGGTTATGGGCCGCTCTCATTTCGTAACCATGTACCATTCCTGACGTTAGCAATTAAAACAAGCAGAATTAAACAAATAAGGTTTTGCCATATATACAAAAAATATTTTGTAACTGATATTGACAAGGCTTATTACATGAATCATCCAAGTATAAACAGGCGTGTATGCTCATAGTTATTTGTATGTACAAATATGACACATAGGTGGCCAGAGAAGTGACGTCCAAAGATAAAATATAGATGCCTTATTTTGATGATTGTCCGAATAACTCCCATGTATGTTCCGCGATTCTTAGGGGTTTAGGAGATAGAATTTTTTTTATGAATTTTTTCATAACTTTCACCTTAGAGCGATTTAAATTTTTTCACTTTTTATGGGACGTTTATGATTTATTTTTTTGTAATTTATTAACATTAGATACTACCTTAAAATTTACGGTTTACCTAAACCTTATGGAACACGACTGAAATTGAGTCATAAGTTCAAAATTACTGTTCGAGAATTAGTCACAAAAGTTCGACGCATGAAAAAAAAATATGAATTATTGTGCCCATGGCTTCTAAGTATTTCTAAAAACTGTTATAGGCCTTCAACAAAAGAAAGCAATAAAACGAACTAGACCTCAATGAGGATTTATTTTCTGTAACTCCACCTAACCTTCAAAGTAAAAATGAGCCAGTTTTTTAGGAAAACTAGAAAAAAATATTTGTATATAATTTTTATTTCATGTAATTTTGAAATTTCGACTCAATTTCAGTCATGTTCCATAAGGTTTAGGTAAACCATAATTTTTAAAGTGGTATCGGACATTATGGTAATGAATTACAAAGAAATAAATAGATCACAAACGTCCAATAGAAATTGAGTAAATCAAAACAATTGTCATGTGAAAATTATGAAAAAAATCATAAGAAATCCTAAACTGTTAAGAATCGCGGAACATACATGGGGTTTACTCGGATACCCCTCAATATAAAGCATCTACGAGGGTGGATTGAAAAGTACTCGGCCTTACCAAGAAAATAAACAAATACTAAATCAGTTATATTTTTATTTTTCTACATAATCACCATCAAGTTCAATACACTTTTGCCACCTCCCCTTCCAAGCATTTAGACCGTTGAAAAAAATGATTCTTCCTTAGAGTCAAAATATGCGTCTACAGCTGCTTTGACCTCGTCGTTTGTCGAAAATCTTTGACCTCCCAAGTGCTTTTTTAGGTTAGGGAACAGAAAGAAGTCTGATGGTGCCAGATCAGGTGAATACGGCGGATGCGGTAACAGTTCAAAGCCACAGTTGTGAATTTCAGCCATTGACCGTACTGACGTGTGAACACGGGCGTTATCTTGATGAAACAGGACTTTTCTTCTGAGCATTCCTCGACGTTTTTCTTTTATTTCCTCTCGTAAACGACGTAGTAAGGTGCAGTAGTAATCAGAGTTTATATTCTGACCCCTTTCAAGATAATCAATCATAATCACACCTTTCGAGTCCCAGAACACTGAAGCCATCACCTTATTTGCCGACAAAATCGACTTAGCCTTTTTAGGGGGTGGTGAACCAAAACGATTCAAAAAATCATCTGCATCGGCTTCAAATAACTGCAAACAGTCGCGTGAAATAGTCAATCGCGCCCTTTTTTGTTCAACTGAAAGCAGTCGCGGAACACACCTCGCAAACACCTTGTGGAAACCCAACTCGTTGACAATGATGTTTTGAGTTCGTTCATGAGAGATGCCTATAATCTCGGCTATCTCTCTAATTTTTAATCTGCGGTCTCCCATTATTAAATCAAGTACTTTTTTAATATTTTCGTCAGTAGTTGACGTCGAAGGCCTTCCAGAGCGGGGTTCATCTTTCACACTCTCTCTACCACGCTTAAATTCTGCTATCCATTTTTTGACGGATGAATATGACAGAGCACAATCGCCTTATGTACTGACCATGTCATCATGGATGGCTTTTGATGATAGCCCCTTCTTATGGAGGTACTTAATGACGGCACGCTGCTCGATTTGCTCCATTCGCGGAAATTATGTCCGATTACTTTGTTAATAAATTTATAAAATCACAACTAATTATCGCACACGTTTCGAACTTCACACAATGAACTAGTCTGAACTGAACTAAATAATGTGGGTAGATTTGATTTTTAGAATTGAATGGATCTGTGTTAGGCCGAGTACTTTTCAATCCACCAATTTTACCTTTGTACGTCACTTCTCCGGCTAGCCTGTATACTCATATATAGTTTTGAGTTATATTTGTATGTTTTATTTAACTATAAAATGTATATATTTAGTGAAATAGCAACATTGTTTTGTTTCTAATACGTATCGTTTTTGTTTATTCTTTTTTTTTATATTGCTACATTTATGTACCTAATGGCATTAAGACTAATAGAAGATGCTAAATATGCCTTATAATAACATTAAGTCCGTACTTTGTATTCTTTGGTAATAGACAATGCAATAAAGAATAATAAATAAATGTTTTAAGATTAAGCTGTGCTCGTACCTTAAGCCATTGAAACTTTTAAGACGCTTAAACCGTGTTTCGTTCCTATTTGCTACAGGAGCTACCAACTTTAGCCAATTATGTCTGATCGAGAAGCATCGAAGTAGTTTGTTTACTGAAAAAGAAATAATATAATATTTTAAGATTATCTTTAAATTAGTTTACCTAACATAACATTTACATTCTATCCTGGCTCGCTTATTGTTATTAATTTCAATTAATTTGTAACACGATGCTATAGTATAGAATAAAAACAACGGACATTCGACGGACCCGCGGTATTGTGGTGGTTTTGTGCCGGTAAAGGTGCCCTTTACCGGCACAAATGACGCCCGAGCATACCCGCCTGCGCCCCGCGCTCTCATTTTAGTTTTCATTCACCTGCAATTAGCCTCGGCGTGACGTCGTACTATCTTTCCGCGTGTGTATGAGCCGCCCGCTGGTTGTAGTTATTGTGAACATGTACAAGTAGTCTAATGTCGAGTACCTAGCAATGGTGAGATTTTATGTCTTGTCTGGTGAAAACTTAGACGGTACGAGACGAATGGTACGCAAAAGAAGAACACCTACACTAATTTTATATTACAGACGTATCAGCGCTTATGTGATCGTAGCCTGTTCCGGCTTCCCAGCCATGCCAGAGGCAAGGGCGGCCACGCTTGTCCAGACACATTGAAGACGACATATTGGACTACTTCCAACGAATCCCAAGAAGAAACACCCGGGAAACCGTTCGTCCATTTGGCGTACGCTAGTATCTGGTATCGTAGCTACTTCATTCAAATAATATACATCCATACAGTCAGCGTCAATAGGAAGGTAGCAGTCAAGGTGATCAAATATTTATAAACATCCAAAGCGATCATTAATATTCAAAGTAGGCAAATTCTTGTGATCACCAATCTTGCTCAAATATAGCGAAACATATACTCGTACAGCGACAAATATATATTTTAGTCGAACAGTCCATAATAAAGTAACAAACAAAACTTCAACTCTAGCGAAGCAGCTAAAGTCTTCAAAAATGCGGGACAACATAAAATATAACTTTATTTTAATACGATAGGGTGCAATTTGTTTCGTTCTAAGTTTTTATTTACCGACTTCAAAAAGGAGACACGGGAGCATATTATGTTCTTTAAAAGTCAATCCACCACGTTAAGCGAGGGCCATACCACTCGCGAAATTATGATTTTGCCGGAACGGACGCAAAGCGTCACATTATTTTGATTTTAATAAAGCATTCAATCTAGTATTCAACGAAATTTTAATTCTAAACCTAAGGCTAAGCTAGAATTTACTCCTAAACTCTTAAAAATTTCTTTTCAAGTTATTTGAGAAACAGTAGACAGACAACCTGGGACCACCCCTGAGTTATCCTCTCTCAAACAATATGTAATAAATTGTATTTTTTAGGTATTGTTTTTTCCATATATTATTGTATTTTGTTATTATAATGAAATTAATAGGTCGGCGAAAAGGTTTTTTCGTCTTTGGTTTTTATAAAATTGAAGAAATATCTCTTTGTTTAAACTGTTTGTATCTGGATAATATCAATATCAATACACATAAGACGTTAATTGGGGTAATCTTGGGGTATCGGGGTGGTATCGCGGGGATAAACGCTTGCCTCAAATTTGCACTTGAATAAGTAAAAATTTCGTTAAAATTCCAAACCTAAAACTAGCTGCATTGTAACATTGTAATGTTATTTTAATCTTTTTTTATAGGAAAAGGGTGACTAACCAGCACATAGTCCACTTGATGGTAAGTGGTTGCTGTGGCCCATAGACATCTACATTTATCCTCGATTACGATTCAAAATGTAGATGCGTTGTCACCCGTGAGGACTAAGATGGAATGCCTCGTTTTCAGTAAAAAGGGTCTCCGGTTCTCCACATTCACCACGAAACACAGCAGCATTAAACTGCTATTTTACGCTGGTATTCTGTGTGAGCGTGGTCCTCCCCCGGTGGAGCTGACCCATTCGTGTTACAACTATACCAGAAATATAGCGGCAGCATGGCTCTACCACGTTTAAATCTGTACAAAATAAACTTTTCTGAAAAACAATGAACTTATGCATTACTATTATAGCTTACGTTTTCTTTAACGGGGTAGACAAAGGCGATCGATCGGCAAGAGACCAATATTGACATACAACTTTCGCTTATATTTTGGTTAATAGTTAGTAAATAGGCCTACAGTTTCATTCCTGGTACTCTTGTTTACACCGGCCACCCTCAGGATACTTTACGGCAGTGCTGGCTTTAGAACGGAGGGTTATGTATGGTGGCACTGCTGGGAACTAATAGATATGACAATTTTTATATAGAATTGTATATATCTATCTGTTTGTTAAAATTTCATCACATTCAGTTAACTCAGTAATTCCAAAGATTAGCCCTGAGACAGACAATTAAAAATTTTAAAAATGGCTATGTCATAAGAGCATAAAAATAACCCAATGAGCTTAATAGAAGCCAGTTGTTTTATTATTACAGACAAACACTTCAATTTTATTTATATGTATATAAACGTCGCCTACTCGTACATCCTGTACGAGTAGGCTACGTTTAGTATTTCAACGAAGATATTTAATTTACAACGAAGATTGTTTTATTTTACTTTTATCCGTGGCTCGCTCGCGTGGGCTTCAATCACTTTGCAATTACATTTATAGTCATCTCGGTGTCTGTTTCTCAATGGCTGTTTGCCAAAGTTTTTTTTTAATTCTCAAAGAACATTGGACGTAGATGATGGTATATGGAATAGATATAGTATGCTACAGGAACACGTAAATAAATAAGTTTTCCAGAATTGCATTAATATCATGTATCTAGAAACATCTACTATTTTTCTGATGTATTAGTAAGAATTGTTATGGAATTAAAATGTATTATTGTTATATGAATTTACATTCATTTATTATTAAAGTTAATTTGGTTTAATCAAAGTTGTTAAGAAATTACTTCGCGTAAATCCGCTCGATAAAATAAAATGATGTGTCTTACCTAGTTTGAAGAGCACCTCCCCCTCCCTCAATTGCGTGCACTATCACCGTCACCACTAATCCCAGCACTACTACTCCCAACACCACTACACTAGGAAAGATACACCACTGACTACAATACGACACGTATTTTGCCTCTACACGAGGCATCTTTAGGTAATCTAAACTCTGCGTTGGCTGACCGCTAAGTAAGCGGAGCCAAAACTACTCATATTTATACAGACCGCTGACGCAACCGCTTCTTTCTTAAGGAGCGAGCGACTGCGGATAAAACATGCGACCAATCACCGCTGGATTTACGCAGCCGTTTGTAGAATTAAAAAAAAAGCCGCACAACGCTCGCCTACCCTCCAACCACACAACCAATCGCCGATCACCGTGAGGGTGACAAACGTCCATATTGCAAGGCTGTCTGTTATTAGAGAGCAGACTTAAAGATATTTAAGAGAGGTGAGTTAGAAACATTTGTTTCATTCAGCAGTGAAACGTTACTATTTTTCATTCATTCATTACAGCCCTTCACAAGTCCACTGCTGAACATAGGCCTCCCCAAAAGAATGCCACAAAGCACGGTCCTGAGCCACCTGCATCCATCGACTTCCTGCATGTCTTACCAGGTCGTCACTCCATCTCGTGGGGGGACGCCCTACACTTCGCCTACCGGTACGAGGCTGCCACTCGAGAACCTTTCTTCCCCATCGGTTGTCGGTTCTTCGAGCTATATGGCCGGCCCACTGCCACTTCAGCTTACTAATCCGTTGGGCTATGTCGGTTACTCTAGTTCTATTGCGGATATCCTCATTCCTAAGTTTATCACGCAGAGAAACTCCGAGCACAGCCCTCTCCATAGCTCGCTGAGCGACCTTGAGCTTCCTCATACGGCCAGCAGTGAAGGACCACGTCTCAGTTCCGTAAGTCATCACTGGCAACACGTACTGGTTGTAAAATTTCGTTTTAAGGTTTTGAGGTATGTCTGACGAGAAGATGTGTCCTAGCTTCCCGAACGCTGCCCAGCCGAGTTGAATCCGTCGATTGACCTCTCGGTCGAAGTTGGACTTACCTAGTCGGACTATTTGTCCCAGGTAAACATACTCGTCAACAACTTCGAGCTTAGTGTTCCCAACAACTACCGGCATAGGTGTGACATGGACATTAAACATAATCTTTGTTTTGTCCATGTTCATCTTAAGACCTATCCGTTGGGAAACACTATTAAGGTCATTGAGCATAGTGCTTACTATTATTACTTTTTAATATATCTAACTGTTCCAGCACACACAGTCGCAGCCCTTTATTACACGTATGTAAGACTTTAAAGAAGTGGTCGGCTAGGTTGTGTCCAGTGTCCAAAAGATGTTTAGCAAAATGGGACTTATCGGGATTGCAATATCTGTACGCGGCTAAATGCTCTTTATAACGTGTTTCGTAATTGCGACCAGTCTGACTTACGTAAACGGCGTGGCATTCGTCACAAACAAGTTTGTTAACACCTGACTTTTGACGAATATCCAACTTATCTTTATTATCACAGATATTTCGAAGATAATTGTTTGTTTTGAAGCCAATAGGCAGAAGTCTGAAGTCTGAAGTATGTCAATATGTTCAGTATCGTCCCAGAAATTCATATCAGATGTGGTAAATCCTCGGAATAGAACACGGAATTCTACGAAGGATGATTCGCGAGACTGTAGAAAATAAAAAAAATCCTAATTTCAATAGAGAAGATGACTGAGTGCTACCATCTGCTTGGAAACCCATAATTGTTAAAATTTAATTCAAACCCAAGCTTACTACTACAAGATTTCAAGATACTGTAAGCTCGTTCTGCGTTGATCGGACCAAATATTATTAATTAAAAGTTGAGGGTAGCCTTTGTTAACTATGACATCAGGACATCAAACACCTCAGTCCCTGCTGTGACCATGGGTGCTGTAAAGTGCTTGAAAATCAAGGAATTAAATAAGTTAAAATTAAACGCGATACAATCCATTAAACTAATTTTATTACAAATGAAGTTATATTCACAGTGAACGTGGGAATAACTACACTTATAAACGGGAGTAGAAAATGTTCGCCTTGTTGTGGTGGCGAAAGAGAATCCGCCACCTTATATCGTGTGTACGGGTGCATCCTAAGAGGCGAGAGTAGAAAACACACAGAAGATGGGCAATATTATCTTCCTGACAACAGGTTAAAGTAATAAAAATTGCAGTACCAATCCTCCTGTTAAGCGTTTCAATTATAGTTAATATCCAGCCTCTTTGATAATTTATGGGGAGACCTAGGTCTGAGGTCGTCGGACTTATGTCCAGTAACAGGACTTATTTAGGTGCTGCGATGTCCAGGAGGGGCTTCCAGTGGAGGATCGACCCTCCGGCTTGCCCATGTTGGGGCTGTATTTTTAAGGCGGTGGTTAGAGTTTGTAGTGTTATGCTACTTACATATCATTTTACATTATTTTAATTTCATTTTTCCATTCTGTTTCGATTTTCTGCATTCACCTCAAAACTGTATATTTTACATCACCTTTATTTCCATAGGATCCTGTAACGATTTTAAACCATAAGAACACAATAATAAATCATTTCTACTTCGTATTTTCACATTATCAGCACTTTTAAATTGGTGTCAATGGAGTCTACCTTTTTCGATCTTTTATTTAGTTTTCCGTAACTCTGCAATTTCGGGCTTTGTGCGTGCAGTTGCGCTACCTTTTTTCCTATATCAATAATATCTCATTTTTCACTTAAATCTTGCCGTTTTTCTATTACAAGCCTAAAACCAAAATTTGACATGTTTTGACATCGTTGTTTATTTGGTCGCTATGACAATTATATTCAAATTTGCTACCGGTCTGTTGTTTCTATTTCGATAATTCTACATAAATACTCTTTCCTCTTGACCATTTACAAAAAATTTGCGTTTAATTTAAATAATTTTTCCGTTCTCTCTAGAAAGGTATAAAAGCCGAACAATCGGTGAAGAAAGGCAGTCTCGCTTCAGTTCTCGAATTGGAAGCATCTCCTAAAGGCCTTATCCCGGGGCCGCACTGCCCCGGGATCCTGCAAGCCTCTGTCCTGCCTGAAGCCACTGGACTCTACGAACCTCTGCTCTACCTGAAGTCGCCGGATCCTACAAACCGTTGCTCTGCCTGAAGTCGCCGGGATCCTACAAGTCTCTGCTCTACCTGGAGTCGCCGGAACCTGCAAACCTCTGTTCCGCCTGAAGTCACCGGAACCGGCAAACCTCTGTCCCGCCTGCAGTCACCGGATCCTGCAGGCCTCTGTGCTGTCTGAAGTCGCTGAGGATCCTGCAAGCCCCTGTCTGGCCTGAAATCGCCGGATCCTGCAATCACCACATTCACCTGAGGTCGTCACCTAGAGACGCCCACGCCTTCTCACCTACGCCGTGCGTGCTCGTTCCAGGCGCTGAGAGCACACCTTGGATCTTCAGACTCAGCTTCGACACTAACCTCCTTTTTTTTATTACCTTTTTTAAATAATTTGTAAATCACATCATCCATCCTCATCTTCATACTCCATTTTTGTTATATAAAATTGTAAATATCTTTTGAATCTTAAATATATTATTTGTTTTTGTTGTATTTTTGTTGTTTTGTTGCTCTTAGGTTAGATTCTTTATGTTCTTAATTGTCGCTTCACGACAAGTTGCAAGATCTGATGGGGGTGCCTAAGGTGGCCTAGGTTTGGTTATAGATTCGGTCTTGCAACTGCCGTCGCGACCCTGTCCCGCTTGCTGGTTTGCTCGCGGATATAAATCCTTATGTCCAGGACGGGGGTTTGTTTTAGCCAAATATAGGCATTTGAGACGCCACCCAATCACGTTCGACTTAGCAAATCGCCCGATGGTACCAGATGGCACGCGCGTTGTGGGGAGGGGGCAGCGGAAGGCTGCTTCCCAGCATTTTGGTGCTGTCGGGCGAGAGACAGTAGCTCGCTGGCAGCGGTATAGTTAATTAGCGTATCTCGGTTACCGCTGCAGAAGTTTCGCGCGACCGGTTCATGGTCTAAAGTTTTAGAATTAGTGCGTGTTACTTCGCTACGTAATTGTGGTTTCGTGAAAACCGCCTCGGTTTAGGTTGTATAGATTTTAAGTTCGTGATAAGAGGCTTGTATCGTATTTGACCGATTAAAGTAATTTCGTTTGAAAGTAATTGTGCAAATTATATAGTGATTGCGTGTTGAAGTGCATTTTGCAATATTTAACTTGCTCGTGTGACGTGGAATTTCACGCGCGCGCCGATTAGATATACGGTCTAGAATTCGAACCGCGCATTCCTTTTCGAGGGCGTCTCCCGGTTGATTGTTTGGAAATAATCGTTTAATTATACCATCGCGTTAAGAGCCTTTTGTGTGTTGACTCGGTAGCTAGTTTACGTGTCAGCTAGGTTGATTTTGAATTCTTATTGCGGCGTGGTGTTTAATATCGAACGAAGGAGCTTAGTTGTGTTTTTAACGCTGAACCGTGTGACTCATGAAGAGATCGCGTTAGTTCCCTATTTGTAATTAGGTGATAAATGAATCCTGGACATTGAATGTTGAACTTTGAACTAATGTCCGTTACTTATGTCGGGTATCACGTCTTCGATTCTACGATGAACGTTGAGTTAGTTGAGTTGAAGTTAATTAAAAGTACAATAAAGTGATAGACTGAAACAGTGAAATGAAGAAAGAAGTGTTGTTGTAAGAAAGAAGTTGTGGACGCCTGCTGGAGTGATGCAGCATTGTGGGGCAGCATGGAAACTTGCAAAGTATTTTCATTATGCAAAGTTGGTTGGTCCTATTTAGTTACAAAAATATTGTAACTTTTTGTGCCAAACGGAGCCAACTAACTTTGGTTGTTGTTTCTATAATGGAAATGCTTAGGTCCTGAAGGCATCAGTGGCATGGTTGTTTTAATCGTTCAAATTCGGCACTGTATAGTGAACCATACAGCATAATTTTTTCTATTTTTTTTAAAATTGGCCACAGTAGGTTGGTTTCATAATTGACAGTGGTGTATCTCTGTTTTTAGTCGTCGGAAAGCTATAATTTTTTTCAGGAAGATAGAAAGCGTCATTTGAGCGCCATCTATGTACCAAACTCAATTTCACTCAAACTGTGGGTTTGTTCCTGTTTGCATAAATGGGTCCATTTATAATATTCACTACACCTAAAATTGCAACTAACAATTTTCTTCTTTTCATTAGCGCGGGCAGTGTTCAAGCTTTAGATTATTCTCGTGTGTTTTAAATGTTTTTTTTTTAAGAGACCCTTCTTCTGAGAAATCTATATCCTGATGTAGTATGTACTTGTTTCTCGAAACGAAATTTTTATTTTAAAACAGTTATTTTCGAGTTTGGATTAGACCAACTTTGATCGGTCACTAAGATTAAATTAAATTTTTCTAATACCTTACATGGAAAACATCGGATAGTTAGGGAGAAGAGCTTTTGCATTTATGTTAAAATTTTCATCACTGTAATACTTTTACACAGCTGGTTACTAGACGACTAAACTAATAGCGACTTAGATAATAACTAGCGAATAAAGTAAAAATTTAATTTAAATGATATTTTCTTATTCAAAACGGCAAGATAAAAAGTAATCTCTAAAAAATCAAAACAATGTTACCTTCGTGGTCCTTCTTCTTAAAATTAAAATAGTCGTAAATGATCCCACTAATGTTGAGTATAACTAAACATATCACAATCACAGCCACACCAATGTCAGCAGGTTCTAACTCAAACGATTGATTTTTATTTTTACAAACTAAGTCTTCGTTAATCCTTGTTTTTAATTTGTATTTTTCCCAAAATGAACTATTTAAGCACCCTTCAAGTACTATTTTAAGGTCCTCTGTTGTGTTTTGCGCAAGGTATTTTTGACATATATCCGTGACGCAAATACCACGATGTAGTCGCGTATGATTGAAATGCGTTTCTGTACGTGCAGAATATTCCTGTAAAATATAATATTCTATTGACAAGATCGTACAGTAGTAGAAAGAACAAATAAGAAAATATTCGGCAAAGCTCTGCAGGACTCTGGAAAATTAGTTATGTAAACTAGTTTTCCGTTAATCACCGTTTATTGACATACAACTAATATGATTGTTAACAACAAAATTTTAAATGCTTATTGTAATGGAAATTCATCGGATTCTTGCAAAGGCTTTAGTCTATGTGTGGACGTAAAAAGGCTATCGATATATGATGTATGAATTTATCAACATCTATTTTATGTGTTATGCCTGCATTGTTAGCTCACACAGTACTATTATAGTGTATTTTCCTAAACTTATGAAAATTTTACAAATTCTCTGCATAACCCTATCTAAATCACGCTCTGTTATACAATACTTACGTTTTCATTCATTTGTGAAAATACCTAACGCGTTGCCTATAAGAGCAGGTAACGTCAAGCTTGTATCGTCTAATATCACAAGTTCCACCACTTTTGTGTCCCTACTGATATACATGACAACAGTTTCACACACATCCACAGCTTCACCGACGGTACCACTTACTACCTACATTTGCACTGCACACTTCAATTACGTAGAACATGGGGCGGAAATATTTTGGAGATTTTGGGTTTGGATTTGGGAAAGATTGCTATCTGAGAGCACGATATACTCTTGATAGATCAAGATCTGCCTATTTAACTGTTATCATTTTTATAACCATAAGCCGTCAAAATTCACTTACTCTTATCATTTCCATTAATTCGTTCCCTTCATCCGTGCTTCCATCTGAAACTAAATCAATCTCCACTGTACAATATAATCCATTTGGTTTATACACACATGGCTCGTATGGATCTAGATGATACAATGGCGGCATTCGGACATATTCTGTACCTGAAAACAAGTGAAAAAAATATTCACATTAACGTTGTATATTCTAGTAACATTACAGCCTAATTTTCCGTTTGTCCGTATTTGTTGAATGACAGATTTTGCAGTTTTCACCATAATTTATAGAATTTATTGATGACAGTTTTAGGTTAAATGTAAATTTGTTGGCTTATTTGTCGATTCTAAAAAAAGTTACACCACACTTTTTTATTTTATTTAATCCATTTCGATTCTTCAGTTAATGTGTGATGAAGGAAGTTAAATGTTTTCAAATAATATTAATACCTCGAATAAAAACAGCGTGTTTTACAGAATTTTATATGCAGTATTGTATGATTAAAGAACGATATTAAGATATGAAGTAGCGATATCTACACAGGCTTTTGGCACAAAATAGCTCTCTTTATTTTGAGCTTGTGACCAGCGTAGAGTTAGCAGCGTACAGTAATTGACTGACAACTTTGAATATCTCTTAAGAATTTTTAAATTTATGATGCCTTATAGTTTCTCCCCGAGGAAAATAAAAAAAAATATATGCGGTTAGGAGTAAAATAAAAAAAATAGTTCTATTTCTGTAAGCTACATAAAATAGTATAGAATAGAAATATATATATGTATATATATACATCGCTGACGAATTCTTGCGTCTTTTTACGATAGATACTTATTGCATCTTTTATTTCCGGCAGAATTTCAAATGTTTACAGAGTGAATATTGTTAGTTTATCTGTTAACTAATAACAAAGTTGAATAGGAATTTTATTTTTATTGGACAGGACGATATTCAATTTGGAATAATTCTTGCTCATTTAGCACGTCCATTCATGATAAGAAGCATGTGGCACACTGTATATTCCGTATATGTTTTGTATGTTTTGCTCACTTCATGCGTCCGTCCATGACAGAAATGATGTGGCAACCTGTATATTCTGCATATGGTTTGTAGGCTTTGCTCACTTTATGCGTTAGTTTATGACGGAAATGATGTAGCACTCTGTATATTCCGTATATAGTTCGTACGTTTTGCTTACTTCATGCGTCCGTTCAGAACAGAAATGATGTGGCACGCTGTGTATTCGGTATATGGTTTGTATGTTTTGCTCACTTCATACGTCCGTTCATGACGGAAATGATATGGCACTCTGTATATTCCGTAAATGGGTTAATTGTTTTGCTCACTTAATGCGTTGACCTTGAAACCGTACGAAATCGTATGAAATCATAGAAGTTTTCGTAGTGCAACTGTTATACTTGATGAGTTATCGAAAGTAAGATTCCTTGCGAAGAAATCTGTGTTATTTTTTTATAGAAGAGTGGGCAAACGAACATGCGGCTCACCTGATGGTAAGTTTCGACTGCTGCACGTGAACTTTAGCAACACTAAGGGAATCGCAACTCCGCCATTGCCGGTCCCAAGCCCGGATGAGAAAGGCGGAGGGGACGGTTCCGCCGGTGAGAGTGGGTGTATCCGGTGGACTAACACACCCACCTGCGCTAGGACCTGCGCAGTCGAGCGCCGTACGCGGGGATGAAGGAGTCCTGGAGGGTTGAGCCGATCGTCGCTGATATATTAGAGAGAGGCAACACGCCCTCTTTGGTCCGGTTTCAAGCTAAACGGTGGCCCTATCTGCTAGCCACAGATAGGGAAATGGCCAAGCGCCCCGTCAGAGGGTCGCAGGCGAGGGATGTGGGGGTCTGCCTAGTTTTCCTGAAAAGGGGGCTGGGTGGTGGTAAAGGCCACGCTGACACGTGGTGGGGATGGGCCTTGTCAGCCCCATCTACCAGCTGGATCGAGCTCCCGATGTCGCACTGTGAGCCAACTTCGCGCCCCTATATTCTCCCGGTAATCCTAACGCCTCAAATTCTTTTTTTTAAAGTAGTGCGTTCCCAAAGGTGCGGGCTCCATGGAGGGTGGAAAGCCGGGGGGACGAATTTTAAAGAACAAAAGTTATGGACAATTTAATGCCCAATAAGAAGGAGGAAGAGGTGTCAGAGGTGCTTACCAGAGACAACAAAAAACAAGGGGGAAACGTCACTAAACCGACAGGTCCACGGACAGTACGGTGCAGCGTAAGTGGCCCCACTAAGGGGACAACTACCGCGCTGAACGTTTCCAAAACTAGTTAGAAAACCGAGGAGCTGGACGAGAAAAAAGAACAAGAGCCCGCGAGTAACAAAACTCCTGCGGAGCCAGAAAGAACTGACGACCTTTTCTCTGCTGCCCGGCAAGTGGTGAGCCGTAAGGGGAAAAGCAAGGCACCCAAAAAGTTGACTTGCCGACTTCACGGACCATCAGGAGGATCTATCCCTGCAGGAAGTAGTGGAAAGGCCAAAAAGAAGAACAAGAAGCAGCGGGAAAAGGCCGAAGAGAACGAGCTGCATTGGCTGCTTCCAAAACTCAAACCAAGGAGACTGGGCAAGCTACTGTGACTGGGGTGCTTGGGGCTGGAACCAGTAGCCGCGCTGAAGCTGGGAAGGATAAAAATCCAGCCCAAGTGGAAGACGCGGCCGCGGGAAGCAGCTCTAGGATATCCACCAGGAAGCAGCGAGCGGTCAAGCGTCCTGAGAAGAAGGAAAAAGCAGCCAAAAAGATGCAACCAAAAAGAGTCCACCTAGCCTATAGGTGAACTCAAAAAAGTGCGACTCGAACAGCAACCAAAGGCTGCAAGAACGAGCTACGCTTCCGCTGCTAAAGCAGATTTGGGTGTGGCCTTAACGTGTGCGTATTCAGGTCACATTACGAAGGAAGTAGCAGACGACATTCTCGTGTCAATACAGAGGAAGATGATCAGCGAGGCCTGGAGTAGCCAAGACCCTGATGCGTCGGTTCCAGTTTTTAGAAGCAAACCCGTTTACACGGAGGGTCTCCTGAAACTGTGGTGCGGCGATCAGAAGGCTCTGGATCGGTTCAAGGGGAATATTGCAACCCTCGACCTTAAATCCAACACCTTGCTGACCATAAAGAAACAGTCGGAGATACCACAAATAGTCAAATGTGGTATCCTTATCCCTGATGCCCAAAGAGCCTGGAAAGACTCATGCGACATTGGTCGCGTGCTGGCATACCAGAACTGCTGGGTTAACATCAGTTGTTAACATCAGCAGACTGGCTGTTACTCAAGGCTGATAAGCAGACAGACGGGTGGTTCCTCGTTGTTTCGGTGCCGGAGGATCATATCCCGACCCTAATGAAGACCATACGCCGTCTCGCATGTGTATGCGGGGCGGTATACGTAAAATTCCAGGGTCGTGGAGGTAAATTCTGTGACACTCCACCGAGCAAAGAGACAGAAAATAACCCGGAAGTTATGAATACCAGAGCCATGGTTACCGATACAGTGGAATCACTGGAGGCCAAGTCCAGTGAAAAAACGGCCTGCACAATTGAGCCGAAGCCCCCAGTAGAGATTGAGCTCAGCGGCAGCTCACTGAGTGACAAAGAGGACTGCATTTTGCCGACCACTTCTGACTCTGACGGCTGACGATGAAACCCGAGATCTGCTGGCAGGCCTATTTTTGGGCGGGGACGGGGAGGATGCGATACATGATGGCGTGCCCTTCGTGCAAAACTAGCATAGTGCAGGCCAACCTCCACCACAACGAAACTGCGTCGGCTCAATTACGCAAGTTGTTGGAGGTTCAAAGGACTGCCATAGCCTTAATCCAGGAGCCGTGGGTTGGGGCTGGTAAAATTAAAGACCTCAACAACCTAAAAGGTAAGCTATTCTACAGCCCTGAACACGACAAACCTAGAGCGTGTATTTACACTACTAAAGATATCTGTGCACAACCATTAACAGATTTCTGTTCTAGAGACATGCATGCCGTGGCAATACAATATACACAGGAGAGAAGATTAGTCATCGCCTCGGTCTACATGCCGGAGGAAGACACTCCTCCTCCTCATGACCTCGGCAGGCTGGTGAACTTCTGCGGAAGGACCGGACTAGAGGTTGTGATCGGGACGGACTCCAACGCACATCATCCCCTTTGGGGAATTGAAAGACCAAATGAACGAGGTCAGGTTTTAGTTGAATATTTATTTAGCATTAACCTAACCATTTTAAACATAGGTTCTGAACCACCTTTCATAAACAAACGCTGTCGCAAAATAATACACCTGACACTAGCAACAGAAGGAGCAGCTAAACTAATTACGGGATGGCAGGTGTCGAAAGAGGCCTCATGTTAAGATCATAGATGGATCTGCTTCGTACTACAGGTTGATATCCCCTCTACGCCACCATGGAGAAATCCCCGCAAGACGGATAAAACAAAATACCTTAATAGGCTGACGTCTTCGTTCGCGGGTTTTGAGGGGATAAATACTATAGCAGATCAGTTGCTCCTAGAAGAACAGGTATCAGCTGTTACTAAGGCCATGATAGATAGCCAACATAAATCATTTCCAGAAATCACTCCACCAAGGCATGCTGAGGTAAAGCAACCGTGGTGGGGTAATGAACTCGATAGTAAACGTAAGAAGGTAAGACGAGCCCTAAATAGAGCCATGAATACCTCAATGGATGAAGACTGGCTACTGTATAAGAAAGCTAAGTCTGAATACAAAAAATATATCAGGTATCGACGCTCGACTAGGTGGCGTAAATTCTGTGGCAACATAGAAACCTGCTAACAAGCAAATAGGATAAGGAATATTCTAGCTAAACAGAACACATTGGGATCCATCTCTCTAAAGAAACCCGACGGTAGCTACTCATCATCGCCGTACGAAGCTAAACGCATCCTAATTGAAACGCACTTCCCAGGTTGCTGCGTAACTCAGGAGGCAACTCGGCATAACGACATACGGACACCAACAGCAGAAGCCTGGAATTTAGCACAGAGTGTGGTAACGATGGACAAAATCCATTGGGCCTTTCACAGTTTCCTCCCCTATAAGGCGGCAGGACCTGGCGGCATATTCCTGACACTCCTACAGTGGGGGGTAAAGCCCTAATAGTCAGACTTGTTGCCATAATGAGTGCCTGTCTGGTTCTTAA